TTTTTTTTTTTTTTTTTTTTTTTTTTTTTTTTTTTTTTTTTTTTTGTACCTTTACATAAACCTTTACTTTTAAAGACTTACCCTTTAATTTATATGGGTGATAGTGATTTTTGTTGCAGATGTGATGTAATAAGTCTAGTATCTAATGGACTTGACCAAAACAAGAAATGGAAACATAATTTCTCGTGAGATAAAATTCTCTTTCTTTCTTTATTATTTTATTATTTTTTACATAGGTTAAATAGATTAGTTGAAAATTTTGAAAAACAAAAATACTAGGGGTTGACTTCTTCTATTCTTTTTCTTGGTGTCTGGTGGACTGTCTAAAAGAAAAAAAAAAAAAAAAAAAAAAAAAAAAAAAATGAAANAGAAGGGAAGAAGGCGTAGGTCCCACAGAATAAAGAACAAGGAAAAGCATAATAAAAGAAAAGAAAAGAAAAGAAAAGAAAAGAATAATAATAATAAATAAAGACGAAGACTAAGAGTAATAACTTAGTCGTGAAGTTGTTATATTCCAGTCTCCGTGTCTTTCCTCCCTTTCATAAGTCTCCATTGTCATCGCTTCACTTCAACAGTCATTAGGGTTTGAAAGGGAATACACACTTCAATTCACGCTCTCGCCCCATCACTCTCCGTAATCATGCTAACCGGACTTGCCAGAGGCGCGTCTATGGTCGCAGCCGAGGTCGGAGTTCTCAGACGCCGTTTTCAAAGAACTCTGCCCCTTCAATCGCCGGAACACTCCTCTACTTCATTTTCTGCTCTCACTTCCTCCTACTCGCCCCTCTCTGCCAACCCTATGGTCGCCGAGGACAACGACCTAGTCATGGAGGCCGGAGAGCCACTCCCTAGACTCGTATTTGGAGGCGTTCCTAGTTTTGAAGAAGCTAAGGAAGCCACCGCTGAGTTGAAGGAGGTCTTGGATGCGTAAGATCCGCCAAAACTCCATCTCATTCTATTGCCAATTTATTTGATTGCATACTTCATTTTCTGTTAGCCGATTTTTGTCATTTCCTCAAAACTCTGTATACATTTTTTTTTTTTTTTTTTTTTTTTTTAAATTTCCAGGATGTGTCTGTCGTCGCCTAAATACTTTGAATCAGATACCTCATTGATGCCGGGAATTTCTCTGTCTCTGAACAATGAGACGGTGGATAACGGATTTGGTGTGATCATGGAGAACGATGCAAGTAATCCAGGGCGTGAACATGTTCGCGAAGCATTCCGTTTGCTTTGCTGTAGCTCTAAAATCCAGGTAATTAATTTTAACGCATTAATTTTGATTAATTACCACGGCACTGAGGTTCAGTGGATCTATAATCGTTCCATTTGTTCTCCAGAACATTGTTTCAGCCGTCGCCTGTGACCAAAATGTATTCAACGCTGTGCTTGAGAATTCTGATGTCAAGGAACTCATCCAGACATACAAAACCAGTAATCAAAATGTTCATTTCTTTTGAATCCAATTTAGTTTTTTGGGGCTGAAACTATGTTATTTCTGCTGCAAAACTTGATGAAGTTAAATTTCATTAAGGTTCTGATAAGGAGGATGAAGGAGATGTTACCCAAGAGGGGGAATCAGGAGCACGCGTGGTTAAAAAGCTGAGGAATATGAAAGATTTCGTAGTTAAAATGGTGAGTAATATACCAAGTCATCTTCCAGGCTTCTTGCATGGATCTGCAGCTATGGAGATTGCTTATGGATCTTCATCTATGGAGAGTGCTTATGGATCAGATCATAAAGAAAGCATAACCATGAAGGCTCGCAAATTTGGTTTCGGCTGTGTGGAAAAGCTCAGAAACCTGAAAAATTCAGCTGTTGAAGTGGCTACTAAAATACCAAATTATCTTCCAAACTGGTATGGATCTTCAGCTGCAGGGGGTGGTTCTGGATCAGATCATGAAGGAAACGCCCAAAGTTCTACCCCTGAAATGGGTTTAGGAACGTCTCTTACGGGGTTGGCAATCATGGTTATTATGATTGTAGTGTTCAAGCGAATTTAGACTCTGTCTCAACACATTGTGCTGGAGGCAGAGTTGGGCAGGAATGTAATTGATAGTATAAGGGAGGGAGGTACTTTATCTTAGCAAATCTGTTGAACTTTTTAAAGTGATTCTCTGTGTTTGTTTGCATAGAGAGTATATGTATGTTACTATGAATAATGGGATTGCTGTTATGGAGTTTATGAAATTTGTGAAGGTTTGCTGAACCCACCACACCTTTTTAGGTGTGAGAGTTCTCTTGTTTGTAATCATTTACAGGATACAAAAATATTTATGGAAATAGTAATAAAAGGAAAGAATAATAAATAAATGCAATATATTTGCCTTTAATAAAAGGGCAAATATGGTAACCCGTAATGTAAGGCAAATATCTAGATATTTACCTTATAATGAACGGTCAACTATCCTTAACACCCCCCCGCAAGCTGAGCGTCGGATTTGAACGAACGTGAAACTTGGATCTGAAAAATTCAAAGAGAGGTCGAGAAATACTTTTTGTAAAGATGTCACCAACTTGGAGATAAGAGGGTACATATTGTGTGCGAAGTTTGCCAGCGATAACAAGTTCTCGAAGGAAATGATAATCTAGTTCAACATGTTTGGTCCGCTTGTGAGAAACGGGATTAGAGCTAAAAAAAATAGCACTTTTGTTGTCACATAAGAGTGAGGGCTGCTGTGAAATAGGGACCTTGAGGTCATGCAGAAGATGTGTAACCCAAAGAAGTTCAGCAGCAGTTGTGGCAAGAGCACGATACTCAGATTCACAGCTGGAGCGTGAGAGAGTAGGTTGCTTTTTGGCACTCCAAGAAACGAGATTGTTACCAAGATAAATAGAATAGTCGGATGTAGAACGACGAGTATCAGGACAACCAGCCCAGTCAGCATCCGAATAAGCGACTAGCGTACTAGGAACAGTGGATGGACGAAAGGTAAAACCAAAGTGGAGTGTTCCTTTGACATAGCGAAGAATACGTTTGACAGCAAGAAAGTGATCTGCAGTAGGGGCATGCAAGAATTGACTGACAGAATTGACAGCATAGGCAATATCTGGACGCGTAATAGTCAAGTACTGAAGGGCGCCAACAAGAGATCTGTAGAGAGTAGGATCAGAGAAAGAAGAATCATCAGCAGTCAGGTGTTGAGAAACAACCATGAGAGTGTGAACTGGTTTGCTATCGAGCAACTGAGCACAAGTAAGAATATCTCAAGCATATTTTAACTGACTAATAAAGAGACCATCATGAGTGGGTGAAGCTTCAAGACCAAGAAAGTAACTGAGAGAACCCAAATCTTTGGTAGCAAACTCAGAATGAAACTTGCGAGTAAAGCTATCAATAAGAGATGAGTTGTTTGCCGGTAACAATAATGTTATCAACATAAAGAAGCAAATAGATAATGTTAGATTGCTGATGAAAGACAAAAAGGGACGTGTCAGCGTGACTGCAAGAAAACCCAAGTGTGAGAAGAAATGAGCTAAAACGCTGAAACCAAGCACAAGGAGCTTGCTCTAAACCATAGAGGGCTTTCTTTAATAGACAAACATGAGTGGGAAATCGAGGATCAATATACCCAGGAGGTTGTTCCATATGAACACGTTCAATAAGAGTTCCATTGAGAAAAGCATTCTTGACATCAAGTTGTCGAAGAGGCCATTTATTTGTGACTGTAATAGAAAGCACAACACGGACAGTGGTAGCTTTGACAACCGGACTGAAAGTGTCAGTGTAGTCAAGACCAGGAACCTGAGTATAACCTTTGGCAACAAGACGAGCCTTGAAACGCTCGACGGATCCATCAGGCAAATATTTAATACGAAACACCCATTTAGAGCCCACGATGTTGGTGTTGGCAGGGCGAGGAACCAAAGTCCAAGTATCATTTTTTTATAACGCTCGAATTTCTTCATCCATGGCAGCCACCCAAGTAAGGATTCTTAGCCGCAGATTTGAATCCTTTTGGCTCAGTGGATGCAAGAAGAGCAGAAAGAAGTCCAGATGAGCCCAAAATACCAAGATTTGCTGGATGACGAGTCTTTAATATACCAGCTTTGGCTCGTGTGATCATAGGATGAGTGCCCAAAGAAGAGAAATCAACAGGAGGTTCAATAGAGGTCGAATTAGAAGTCGAGGGTGGCAAAGTGGAACCTGCAAGAGAAGTATCAACCTGCACAGACTCATCTACAAGGTCAGAACAAATATCACACAGGGATGAACTGGGTCGAGGAGTGTGCGGTGATGAAGTGGTAGGAGGGGATGAATCAATATGATGAAGATGTGGTTCCAAGAAATTTGAAATAGGAATAGAGGCAAGAGATTGGGTCTGGGAGCTAGGGATAGTAGGAAAGTGAGTTTCATCAAATTGAGCATGACAGGTGATATATAGCTTAGTGGTGGCGGGATCAAGACAGCGGAACCCTTTATAAGCAGGACTATAACCCAAAAAAATACATGGAATGCTGCGGGAAGAAAGCTTGTTAGGCATATAATCATGCAAATAAGGATAAACACGACAACCAAATGGATGAAAATTGTCATAATGTGGCGTGTAGACATAAAGGAGTTCAAATGGTGACTTACCTCCAAGAAGTGGAGTAGGCAACCGGTTGATAATATAAGCTGCAGTGCTGAAGGCGTCAACCCAAAAACGAGGAGAAAGATGAGAGTGAAAGAGAAGGGTCAAGCCAGTCTCAGTCACATGACGATGTTTTCTCTCAGCACGACCATTTTGAGCAGGTGTATATGGACAAGAGAGTTGATGGTGGATGCAAGAATTACGTAAATGAGTTTTGAAACAAGTACTAGTAAATTCGGTACCACCATCGCTTTGAAATACCTTGATACGAGAAGAATATTGATTTTCCACAAATTTTTTAAATTGAAGAAAAATATCAAAAAAATCATATTTAAATTTTAAATGGTAAAACCAAGTGAATCGAGAATAATCATCAATAAAAATAACATAATAAAGAAAACCCGAATTTGATTTGGCTGGAGAAGGACCCCAAAGATCACAATAAATAAGATCTAACACATGAGACGACCTACGTTCATTGCGGGAATAAGACAATCGATGACTTTTCGTAAGCTGACAAGTATTACATAATGATGGAGAAGGCAATAAAGACGTAAGAGAAAGATGACCTTTTCTATTTAAAAAAGAAATAACAGAATGATTCACATGACCTAGACGAGCATGCCATAAATCATATGAAGCACGTAAAGATTCGTTTCTAAGGGCTGAAATAAAAGCAGAGTTGCCGCGCACCAGCACATATAGCCCTCCATCTCTTTTACCGGTTGCCACCACCCTTCCTATTTGACGATTCTGGATAGTAATAAGATTATTAGTAAATGCGACGGAGAGAGGAAAATCATACGTTAATTTACTTATGGAAAGAAGATTTTTAGTGAGGTGAGGGACAACCAAGATATCTAATAAGTGAATATTTGGAATAGGAGAAAAAGTACCGGTGTGGGTAATGGGTAGGGATGCACCGTTTCCTACGATCACAGAGTCCTTACCCGTGTAATTTTTAGACTGATCCAGAATAGATGGGTCGGCAGTCATATGGGTTGAAGCTCCAGTGTCCAGAAACCAATAAGCAACATCGGGTCCAGCAATAGAACATGACATGTTAAAGGCTTCAGCAAGGTGAGCATGAGAAGAATCAGGTCGAACATACCGTTGGTTGCAGCGGTCAGTATAATGGCCCTTTTTGTGGCATATTTGGCAGTGAGGTGGTCGACGACCCTGACTTGAGTGGATTCATCCTCGATTAGAAGAGTTGTTTTTGTGAGAATAAGAACGACCTCGCTGGTTGGTAAAGGAAGCAGAGTGGCTTCCATGGGTGCGACCACGATTAGTAACTGTGAATGCTGTAGGAGTGGAGTCAGAAGACTCAAGGGAGCGCTGGAACAACTCAAAACTTTCAGCTTTAGAGACTAAATCTGCAAAACAGGGGATAGGGGTGAGAGCCATCTGAGCAGTAGAGAAAGCTGAAAATTCGGTGCCGAGTCCACGAAGGAACCAGTGCACTTTATCAATGTCCTCGACCGGTCTGCCAATGGCATGAAGTTGGTCACAAATTTTTTTGAAGGTACGGGCATACTTAGCAACAGGTTTGATGCCACGTTTCATCAATTGCAAGTCATCCTTGAGTCTCAGTTCACGTGCTTTCGACTGATGGCTGAACGTAGTTTCCAACGCAAGCCAAACATCACGTGCAGTAGAGAGACCAACGACAACAGCCATGGCTTCCTTAGTGAGAGAGGAGAGCAGGAGACAGAGAAGTCGTTGATCGGCTGCTCTCCATTCCAAATATTTGGGGTTGAGTGTTGAAGAGGTTTCTGGTTCAAAGCGAGGTGGTGGAACCATAGTTCCATCGACATAGCCCAGCATGTCTTGACTCTCAGGAGAGGAAGAAGTTGGCTTTTCCAAAGAAGATAATTGGAGGAAGAAAGTTTGATGGTGATCATATGGATTAAAGTATTGAAAGGAAGAAGATGATAAGAAGATTCAGAAGCCATAGAGAAGAAAGGATCAGTGTTGTTAAACCGAAAGGGCTCTGATAACATGTGAATGTTTGCTGAATCCACCACATCTAAATGGGGTGAGAGTTCTCTTATTCATAATCATTTACAGGATATAGAAATATGATAAATTACAAGTAATATAGAAATAGTAATAAAAGAAAAAAATAATAAATGAATGCAATATATTTGTCTTTAATATATTAAAGACAAATATGGTAACCCGTGTAAGGCAAATTTCTAGGAACAATTGCTTCTCTCTCCTTTGCCCACCTTCCTACCATCGTCTCAAAGCTTCCTTCTACCATCGTCTGAAAGCTTCCTTAAAACACAAGTATTTTTGTCGTGGGGGTGTTATAGCATAAGACTGAGACATATTGAAAGCATTTTAAAAGGATGTCCTAACGCACATTGTTGTTAGCCACCTCTCCCTTGAATGTAATTTGGGAAGGTTAGGAGAAGAACAGACTTCGTAGTGGGGTTTGGGGACAGAGATGGAGACTTTAAATAAGGTTGGAAAGAAGTTAATAACCACTCAAACTCATTACTAGGAGATATTTAGGAGATATGGTCTTTTTACCACTTTTCCTTTCTAATTTTTATTTAAGGTTTTTAAAACACATCTATTAAGGAAAGATCTCACAATTCATCTCCTTCG